AACTTTCAGTTCAATCGGTCCAGCAGAACTTGACTTTAAGTTTGAAATAGGTTTTCAAAATGGCGGCCGTGGCGGCCATATTGGATTTCTGATCGACCCGAAAAATAACAACACTTTGTCAGGACCATGAGGCGATCATTCCTACCAACTTTCAGTTCAATCGGTCCAGCAGAACTTGACTTTAAGTTTGAAATAGGTTTTCAAAATGGCGGCCGTGGCGGCCATATTGGATTTCTGATCGACCCGAAAAATAACAACACTTTGTCAGGACCATGAGGCGATCATTCCTACCAACTTTCAGTTCAATCGGTCCAGCAGAACTTGACTTTAAGTTTGAAATAGGTTTTCAAAATGGCGGCCGTGGCGGCCATATTGGATTTCTGATCGACCCGAAAAATAACAACACTTTGTCAGGACCATGAGGCGATCATTCCTACCAACTTTCAGTTCAATCGGTCCAGCAGAACTTGACTTTAAGTTTGAAATAGGTTTTCAAAATGGCGGCCGTGGCGGCCATATTGGATTTCTGATCGACCCGAAAAATAACAACACTTTGTCAGGACCATGAGGCGATCATTCCTACCAACTTTCAGTTCAATCGGCCCAGCAGAACTTGACTTTAAGTTTGAAATGTAAAATGTTAACGGACGACGGACGACGACGGACGAAAACGGATAGCAATAGGTCACTTGAGCTAAAGCTCAGGTGACCTAAAAATAAAATACATCCCTGAAATTCTAGGGTTCCTCTCCCCTACACATAGATCTCCTCTACACCCCTGTAATAATATATCATGACAAAATCAAAGGCTTGCGGTAAGCTATTTGACTCCTTCACGCTGGGCTGATACCTGTCCTTTGAAGATTACAGAGTAGCGGTGCCCAACTTTGAAGTCTGTCAATTTTGCTACCCTACTGTTACTTCGCCATGTGTTTCCTTTTATCTTCATCAAACACATCAGACAAGTCTTCTTGTATCTTCTGTATTGTTTTTGGTTAAAAAAACCTATGTAAAGTTTGTTATTGTCATGATATATTCCAGGGATGCAGAGATTTGATTATCTAGAGACGAACCCTTGGGTTTCTTTATAATGTCTTTACATTATAGACTAATGACCTCCAAACACTGCCTTAAGATGTCCAAACCTTGTCTCTTAATATTAATACAAAAAATACAATGTCCATATATATAATTTCACAATATCTATATGTAATATGTCACACTGGTAAAATACTAGCCGCTTCCTACCGACTTGGCTAGGGAGATTTCTCCTTAGCCCATTTGGTAGAGCGGAAGTCTATAGTAAGCCAGAGGTCCCTGATTCGACTCCTAGCTGAGCATTGATAATATAATGACCTCTCTTACCATTGCTCACTCGGGAAGTATTGATAAATACACTTGGCAATATTTACAGTGTCCATTTATATGTATCAAGAGTATAATCTTTGGATTTGAGAATGAGTAAAGTATTGATTACCATTTCCTAACAATTTCCAAAATCACAAAGAGTGGTGTGGACCATATGCGTATTAAGACAAAACGCAAAAAAGTTATGCAAGCTTTACATTATATAAATATAAAGTGATCATGATAAGTCAATGTAAAAATAAGTGGTATTAGTACTCACTGTTTTGGGCGAAGTTCCATTATACTGACACCTGCATGAGTGTCGCCATTTAGAATTGTGTGGGAGATCGGTGCCGCTCCCCTCCAACGAGGAAGTAAGCTGGGATGGATGTTGATAATCCCACTAAATACAGAAAACTGGGACTTAACGAAATCAAGCCAAAAATAGATACGGGTTTCCCCCTGTGAAATATTTCGGTTTAGACAGATGTTCATGTGTGTCTTATATTTCTCAAATGTTTTATATCATAACCTGTAATGCCCAATTGCCCAATTTTCAAAAACGTTCCTTGTCTTTTAAGAAAAAGCAGTGAGTTTTTCTTCCTCTTTTAGACAGAAGACTGTGCCTTGTGAAAACAAACATGATTATTTCTAAAGAAAGTTATTTTTTCATTGATTTTGGGAAAACACAGCAGAAAAATTATAGAGGAAGGGGCCTTTACAAGGCCAAAATTAGGCCTCAAAAATCACTGATTACAAAGCATTGTTTGGATTTAAGGAGAAAGCCAAGTTATAGAAATGCTTGCTGAAGCAATAAGTGTTTTCCAAAGTAAAAATTTAAGGATTTTTCCTTAAAATTAAGTACCATCCTGAAACCAGGGCAAATTCATAAAATTGCTGCCTGGCAGGCCTGTCTTTTCAAAACAAGTAAGTTTAGGGACCTTTCATTTAATTTACGGCCCCAATGGGCACTTTTCTAGTTGTATATTGCACTATTTCAAAGGTTCAGCTCTGCGCTAAATTCACCTTCCTATTCAGCAGTGGAAACTGAGAGAGAAAAATCTACTGGGTAATATCATGTAAATATCACTCACTGTGGGAAAGCATTGATGATTCGTCCAGGAATCAACTTCCCGAAGGACACAAGTACACCCACGTCAAACTTCTCCCTGTCAACTTTGACAGGCCACTCATGGACAGTTAGCCCTATTTCTTCACTGTAACGTTTAACTGGAGTCTGAAATTATAGAAATAAATTAAATGAATACATAGAGTGGGTCAAAATGGTAGCTCTTAATTTTCTAAATTAGATTTCCAGTCCTTAATTTACTGTTAATGTTGTTAACTAGGGCTGTCACAATATATTGGAAAACCGATAAGGCCAGAAACAATATTATGTATGTTTCAGGTAACATGTCTGAAAAAAATAGGGTTGGTGGGTCAGGATATATTTTTACTTTTTTTTTTTCATCGGGGGTTATCATGATTTATCATGATTTTCAAAATTATAAAACAAATACTTTTGTTTTGATAACAAGTAACGAAGGCATATATATATTTGACTTGTTTATATATATATATATTTGACTTGTTTATATATAGTTGCCTTGTTCTTTGGTCCATTAAGTTGTTTCGATTTAGTGGACAAGTTATTCCAACACTGGATGGTGTGCGTTCGAGCGAGATTAAATTGTTGTGGATGGTCTGAGGTAAAGAATAAGGTTAGGTTGGGGTACCTGTAACACTGTTTTTGGAGGGGGATGGGGGCTAATACACAGTCAATACATGTACATTGTATTTCAATACATAAATAAGCTAAGACTATTGGTACTAGGATCCTTAAATCAAAAACTATTTCCTCCACACTAGCACAGGGGCTAGACACATGATATTTGGACTTAAAGGACATGCAAATAAGGTTATAGCATTGTCTATACAATGTACTTCACCCTGTATTCTTTAACTCATTCACCCCTGAAAATTCATAATGAACTGTCAACTATTCCAACCTTTGAATTGGTAGAGTTCAAATGTGTCTTCAGGGGTGAATGAGTTAAAGGATTCTTCACCCAATGCACAAGTTCACATTTCATTTGTTCTGACCCCTCATCACTGGCAAGGCCCCACTTTCAAGAATGTTTGTTAACTTATGAAAATTCCTGAAGAAAAGTGTTATTAAAGATAAGAAAAAATCTAAAGTTAACAATTTTTGTTCTTACCCTTGCAGCTGGACAGACGACCTCTAAACTCTCAACGACCTTGGACTCTGACTCTGTCTGTAGCATGTTCTCATTCAAAGCCTTTAGAGCCACCAAGGAAAATGTGTCGGACCCAAAAAATAAAACTCTCCAGGGAGGACACATTCTTACATTGGTAAACTCCTTTGTATTAGAATAACAGACCGAGGTGGACAAAGGTGAAGTCTGGGATATCAACAATGATGGCTTAACTTGAAAGGATTGTCTTTGTGATAACGACGTAGAAAAGGATGTTGTTTTATAAGTTAATCTTGATGAATTTCCATTGGAAAAGGCACAAACTGCAGATACTGGAAACAATAAAGATGACGGTTTGAGTTGTGGTCCTCGAGCTCTTCCACTACAGCAAACACTTGGGATAAACACTGATGATTGTCTCCCTTTTGATATAGAATTCTGTCTCAGATATCTTCTTTGTAAAATGAAAGCACTTTGTAAATAACTTGAAGATGACCTAAATGTTTGAATTTTATGGCACTGTTGCATCTTCAGTAAAGCATTCGGCTGATACAGATGTGTTGATTGAGATGCACTGTTGTGTTTAAGACGTGGAAAGTCCTGGGTCATTTGACCTCTGGGACATCGGCAGATTGATTTGATGACTGACGTGCATCCCAATTTCTTCAAGGAGATGGACATCATGTCTGTTCACATAAATGCCAGCTGGGTACCTGCAAAAACAAACAAATATGTAAGAAAAGATTTACGAAAATCTGCAGAAAAATACAGCCCAAAGCTTTAAGCATGACAGACAAAACTCAAATGATTTTCTGTATAATTATATTTTTATAAATGGTAAATTTGATAGCCATCCCGGCCATCTCATGATGAATGATACAGTTACATGTAGCTACAGGCAAACTAACATATAACAGTATGCCTTATATGTTATTATATATAGTAAAGATTATTTTCCGATACAGGATTTGTATGATATCCTCTACACGTACAGGACTCAAAAATGTTTAAAAAAAAAAAAAAAAAAAATTATATCAAAGTTCGGTTATGGACATCACTTGTTTAACAAATAATAAATTAAGTTCTGTAATTATAATTCAATTCCTGTTCAATGAAATGTTTATCGAGTTTGTTTGTTTATAAATGTATTAATCTGTTTATAAATGTACCAAAAAAATGTACCCAGACAAAAATTGTTTAAAGATTTCCCCATGTTGGAACCTTGTGACCTTGAATGAAGGTCAAGGTCTCTTTTTTTTTTTAGATACTTGGAAAAATCTCCAACTCAGCTTCTTACCGTAGCTAAAGGCTAGATATTTAATATGAATGTTTAGCTAGAGGTCTGTATGGTTCACAAGAGAAGCGTTAACAGTTAAAGAAAGACAGACACAGGCGAAGACGACTGCTCACCAGTACCTTGGTTCAAGTGACCAAAAAAACATGAATGGGTATCATGTATCAAGACTGGACAAATAAACCGCAAACCAAGGGTATCACTTTTGAAGTTAATCAAATATTTAGTTGATTTTAATATGTGATGGCAGATTTATATGGGGTCAAAAGTCAGGAGGTTTTCCTGCCCGCTTCACCGATTTGGCTTGTACACTTCAGGTTGAAAGAAGAAGCCTGCATAGTGCTCTTATATGCTATTAAACCTGTCAAAAAAACCCTGTTCAAGCCTTTGTCAGGTATTCATCTATGATTCTAGACAGTTGTCACTAGTGACAAATTTCGAATAATAAAGCCCAAATGATAAATGTCACCCTGTTATTAAAATACTAGCCGCTTCCTATAGCTACCGTCTTGGCTAGGGAGAATTTCTCTTTAGTGCATTCAGAAGAGCGTAAGACTAGTAAACCGGAGGTCCCGGGTTTGACTCCTAGCAGAGGCTTTGAAAAAATAATGCCCTCTGTTACATTGATGCCCACTTAGGGACCCGGGAGATATGACAAAAATACTTGGTGATACTTGCAAAGGAATCGCTATGAGTTCTTTCATGAAGGGGGAGTATGTCACCCTGGTAAAATACTAGCCACATCCTACTGTCTCGGCTAGGAGAATTTCTCTTTAGCTCATTTGGTAGAGCGTAAGTCTAGCAAATGAGCACTGGACTGGTTTGATCGTCAGCGACCAGGCAGCTCGATTGGTAGAGCAGATCTGTCTGTAGTTCGGAGGGTTCTGGGTTCGAACCCATTCATTTTCCAGCTCCTACTAGTCTACACCTTAAATAGTTTCTCTAGCAAAGACTAGAATTCACCAGTGAGGTGCGGGTGGGGTTTTATTATAATATTATATTTTTAATTTAACACACACACACAAAGTACAAAAAATAAAAAAAAAACAGCTTATGTAACCTTGAAGGAAATGGATACTGTTCATATTGGTCTCATATTTAAGGAATAAATAAATAACAATGTGCTAATATCTTGAAATATGTGCCTTTATATAACAAATAAGCTGTAACACATCCCTAAAGAAGAATTTTCATTGGACCTGAGTGGATAATTCGACCTTTCTAAGTTTCTTCTGATTTCCTGAATCCTTATCTTCAGATTTAAAAAATCTTGACGGACCACTAATGAGCAGAAAATGTCTCATTTACTACCAAAACCAAGACATTGTATGTTTAGAACAGTGTCATAGTTTGGTGATAAAACATCTTACACATTTCTGCCTTACCTTGAAAGTTCGCACTGTACCGGCAAATATTGACGTTTCTTCGTGGTGCCCTATGGAAGGGAGATCACTCTAATGTCAAAAAATTGAAGGTCAAGGTAAAATACAGATAATACGAAAGTACGGCTGCAATTTCCTAATTTACGTGTTTAGGACCTTCCTCAGGTAAATTACCTGCTAATCTTGTCCAATTGTCGTCTGCGTAAAACACAGGCTTGAGGAATGTGAAGGAATTTCAGGGACGACATATTGACAGCGAATCTACATTAGAAGTGGTGTTGAGAAAAAATACTGCTTCATGAGGTTTGTATGTTTTTTGCAATCACAAAACTGTCATGCCAACTGTCCATTTAGGAAATAGACAGTTCTATAGTATAAGCTTACAACAGGTAAAACTTGTTTAATTTCTGTTGTGAACGAATACTGACCTCTTTAGCCTCAGATATGTTTTCATTATTATTTTCTAAAAAATGTGTCGTCCAAATATTTGGAAAACTTCAATGAGGAAGTCGTGTGTGACTCAACACGATTATGATCAACATTTTTGATTTTTGGCCCAAGATCTGAATCTATTTCAGGGTGTGATGTGAGTGGTCTGATTAATCTTGTGCTGTAAATAGACGTGAACTTAGTCTTGTGTATGTGTACGTGTACTATTGTTTACGTTTCAACCGTAAATAACGGTTAATTGTACACAGGCATTCGTCATAAAATCTGAGGCAGTACAGAGGTGACCTAGCTATAGCTATACTGTACGTATATAGTAGCTATTAATGAGTGTGTTTTGGTGTTGTCAGAGGGAGATGGATGTGTATTGCATGGACGGTTAATGTAGGTCAATGTAGACCTCTGCATGAGTAGTGTTTGATGTTTTCCTGTGGTGAGTTTATATAGCTATAGCATATGTATGTGAATCGATATATAAACAATGTTATACTTGTAGCGGTACTGGACTCACTCACTCAGGGTCGATCGTCGGCGACCAAGTAGCTCAATTGGAAGAGCACCTGTCTAAGAGTTTGGAAGGTCCCAGGTTCGAACCCCAGTCTGGCTGTGCATTTTTCCTCTCCTGTTGCGTTATAACTGATCATGAACATACTTTTTGACTTGTGCACCAAGCCAATGTATATATTCAAGGGTAAAGAACAAATAATAAAAGGACAGTCTTTACTAACCGATGTTATCAAATGGCGGGAAGTACAATACAATCAGTGGAATACATTCATTTAAAATTTCATCCTGAACCAGAGACGTATAAAATTTCATCCTGAACCATGCAGAGACATATATACTGACAAAAATCAGCTGATTCACGTTCCACATATAAATTTAAGGTTAAGTATGTGCATTAGGTATAAATATCAAATCAATTTAGAATGATAATTCATTCAAATATTTAAAGTCGACACATTTTTAATAAAAAATCAACTATAGTAAATGGATCCAGATACCAACAAATGTGATACAATGTATACAATATGTGTTATACGATCTGTGTGATACAATGTAAACAATATGTGTTATACAATCGGTGTAATACAATGTAAACAATATGTGTAATACAATCGGTGTAATACAATGTATACAATATGTGTAATACAATCGGTGTAATACGATACAATGTGTCTGCATGGATCTGTACTGCGTTAACGTTGGTTATCTCAAGTTTGGACGTCCTGGGTTGAAATCCCAGTCTACAGCTGTCTTTTCCTGATACATTAATATATATATATATGCCAGGTGGTCAATCTGAGCAGATCATTTATTGCTATGGAAACATCAAATTTAGTACTGTACACTGTACCTAGAAAGACTTCACTGTAGACATCTATCTTCTGAACAAATAATGGATTTTAACTAAATTGGGTCTAGAATCCTTTGGCAAGGGAAACTCAGTTGTTAATAATGGAGGGTGTGACCCCCTTTAGGGCATTAGGCAGGTTCAAATAGTGGAAATAGAGGTAAGGTCCTTCTCTTTATATATATATGAATAGAGGCATTCAAACCAAATACGATATATATATATATATATAGAACATCCTTAGGCCAAGAGTAGCCACCCTTTGACAGAGGGACAGGCCAAATAGGGGAAATAAAGGTAAAGGTATGGAGGTGTTTTAACCAAATCTGTACTAGAGCATCCTTCAGCAAAGGGAACTCAATTTTTGTATAAATGGAGGGTGTCTGACCTGAATGAGAGCAATCCTTGGCCCAAGGGGATACACTGTTGTATAAACGGGGGTGTACTCTCCTCCTCCTCTGGAACAGATCTAGAGGGCTGGGGCCCAACATGGGAAAAAAGGGTACCCTGGTCTTGCTGAAAGACATAAGCACAATTTGGAAATATTTGCAGAATTGTATGTAATGAGAATATTTTACCATGATTGTTTTAATATCCAGATGAGTGATACAGGCCTCTTGCTTAACATTTATTCCTTTATGAATGCCAATATCAATTAAATCAACATTGCATGAAGCATTGTTAATACATGTATGTTAAATATGGATGTATCTTAAATTTATTGCATTCATACCAACATGAATACTTTTACTTTTAAATTCATTGGTATTAGTTATCTTATATAAAAATATTTTTTTAACTTTTGCTGCATAGAAGTTTCCTGGAACAGCCTGAAGTCATCAGAGTGATTGTTTCATATGATAGTGCTGTATGTGTTATGCAGGGTGGGAGAAGTGTCAAAATGACACTGATCCAATTCCAATTGCATTCCTAAACCAATGAATGCAGTTCTTCTGGAGACTTTATATATATATATATGAACTTTTAGTAAATATATATGTAATTATTAAGGAAATCTTAGCAAAAAGGAAAATAACGCCACGCGGCACTGTGTTGTACATGTATCTTTAAACAAGATACTGTATCCTCTTGTTCCAGTCTACTGTACATGTAAATAAGTATGTGGTTTGACAGTGCTGGAATTGTTGAATGTTAGCTGTGAGCGGTGAAATGGCAGCACCAGCTGTATGCTCCCCAGGGAGTTGAGGAAGATATTGGCTGGTTGCATATAGGCCCTATAACCAGGGATAATAATTTGTGAACCGCTTTGAGACGACCTTACGAACTAGATTGTGATAAAGCGGTATACAGTACATTTCACTTAAAATCACGTCACTTATATATATTTATCGCTGTATAAGAACCTGAAATTATTATTATTATGCTTCCCGAAAATTATCAGAGTGGGGGGGGGGGGGGGGGGGGGGGGAGGGAGCATATAGTTGCCGCTTTGTCCGTCCGTCCTTTTCCTGTCCGGTGCATTATTTACCCACATTTAGGCTAGGATCATGAAACTTAATGTGTACATCACTCATACTTAGGAGATGTGCACTGTACCAAATTAAGGGCCAACCAAACCCTTATTCACAGAGTTATTGAAATAATTGTGTCGGGAGCATAACATTTCCCGGATTTAAGGTAGGATCATGAAACTTGGTATGTACATTAGTCGTACATCAGTCACACTAAGGAGTTGTACACTGTACTGTATTCAGGGTCTGCAGCCCTTAATAATAGAGTTATTGCCCTTGGCTAAAATTTCAGACATATACATGTATGTATGTTAAAACATCATTTTCTTCCAAACTCCCTTTTTCAGCATATTTTTACCAATATGTGTCATAAATCTAACCAAATGCAAAATTCACAAACAGGAAAAGCCTCCAATAAAGTTGTTTTCGGGGAGCATACATCAGTTCCACTGATACTCATGTTGTTATTATTATTACTGTAAATTGGGGGTTTGACAACTTTTATAGCTTTCCTGCTCTATTGGGGGTTGCCAGCTGTTTACAACATTGCTTGATTGGAGTGTTTTGTTTTGCTCTACTTAACAGTAATACCCTGTTTGTACAACTTGTTTATCTTAATCTTCGTGTTTTGTCAACAATAACTTACACTTTCATGGGAAACTTTATATCTCTGATCCGTTACTTAGTAAGATAACAAAATGTCCTCCGAGCCGTCTACTATGGTATGTGTACGGTATACAGGGGACAATATGACACAGTTACTGACACTTTCGGCCGTCTTGAGGTCATCAGGTAACAGATCATAGCACCATTTATGTTTGTAGCTTATGATATTCGTGTAATAATCATTATGATATATATCACATATGACTTTAGAATTGATTTAGAATTTTAATGAATAATGTGTTATAAATGTTTTAAGTTTCAATCTTTAAAACATGTTCTTTTTCACTGGCTGTGATCCATCATATTCTTTTTAATTACCAGGTATTATAAATTTCAGGGCTTTCATTTGTCAGTTACATAAAGCAATTTCAGCCTTAAATCACCTTTTTGTCTGAAATATAGGGATGTTCAGAGTAATTATAACTTTGAAGACCATTGGTCATTTAAAGCCAAAATATTTAATCACAGAACCAACTGCAAGAATTCATAATCAACTCAAGTCGGAAAAAATGTGAGTAGATTAATTACTTTGTAGTTTTCAGTAGAGCAGTTCTTGATTTCAACCCTATCTCCTTTATAGATACTTATAATGTTATAAGCAGACTTGCTGCATAAATCTCCCTATATTTTATATTTATAAACTGCTGTGTTGCCATTGTCACTGACTTACTTTTACTTTCGTTTTATTGGCTTGTAAATAATATCATCATAGTGTTAAGTTGTTACTGTGTTTACATCGTGGCTAAGGAGAATAACCTTCGGGATTTTATTGACAGAATTATAGCAATGATAGCTTAAGTAAATACATACAAACACCATAGGACAGAAACCCCGTAGACAGTTGATGACAAAGGGATGTAAATTCGTTACATGGCAATACACGCTTTGCTTTTAACTGGCTCTGCTGTCCTTAAGTGAAAAATATATATAAATTGGTATTCTCTAAGCTCTTTTAAAGGGGCTATTAAATTTAGTCAAATTACACCTTTTAAATTGATTAGATACTGAAGGTAAAAATACATATATGTACCTCCTAACAAAACTTTACGTAGTCAATAATAAACTTACCTGAAGCCGATGATGCTCTAGTATGGTCATTTTTCTTTTGGGAAAGCCGGTGATAAAAATAAAGCTACAACCAAATTTAGCTGAATATAGCAAGAATTTACCTCTTCGACTGGAAAGACATATATTTGTTTGTCTAGAAGTCAACAGATTTCTTCATTACAGATTAAGAACACCATTAAAACTGTGTCTCTTGTCAATTTCTCGACATGAATTGCTCATAAAGAGTAGCAAACTATATGATCATGAGTAATTTTGTGACAAGATTATAAAAAGAACTTTCTTCACCAAATTGTCCAAATTCATGTATTTGACACAGCCAAACAAGTTTCTGATTGAATAGCCTATTCTGAATTGTAGAACAAAAAACTCGCAAATCTTTGGGATATTTCCCACTTCTCTGTATGAATCAACTCACAACGTAACCTCAATGAGACCTGAAAGTTAGGCCTACTTTACTTGAGTTTATAAGTCTAATTCTATCATATAAGATGACTTATACTTGCAACTTTTTGTAATGGTAAAATAAACGATGCCATCAAGAGTTATTTCACAAAATTTTAGCAGTTTATTGCTGCGAGTATATTTCAAAACATTTCCGAAAATCTTACGATAAATGGTCACCACCCAGGACTGTTTGTAAATTGTCCTTGTGTATTAATAATAAGTGCGCAACCTTTTCTTGATATTTTTCATTTTCCCCTAAAAAGTGCACACGATACGTGAATATCTATGGTATTGGTAGGATGTGACTGGTGGAGTGTGATGGACATCATCTTCCTGATGACCTCAGCTGTATTCCGTCTGCGTATTGCAGAGTTATCTTCTCTGGGAGCAGGTATTGATTGTTACGTCATTGGTTTGTGTGAGAAAATTGCGTTGTTTTCTCAAAAATTGATGACGTTTCCTCTCACAAACAAGTGACGTAACAATCAATACCTGCTCCAAAGAGAAGATAACTCTGCAATACGCAAAGACGGAATATATGGACATAAAGTCCAAACAAACAAACAAGCTTCAGGGCTCAAATAGATACAGCTCTGAGGAAACCAGTAAATGCATTCTTATAATACTTTTTCTGTTTTGTTACAGAAGCAGAGAGCAATTTTTAATGCAATTGTAAGATTTGAAGATGGCCAATACTATGACCGAAGAACAGTATGATTTCATTTGGAAGAGTAAGTATTCACTGAAAGTTATATACTGTAAACATAACTGGGGAGGGGGTTTGGCTGTTATGTCATTGTAGCGTTTCCTGCATGTTAAAAATTAGCCTTTTTTGCATTTTAAATAATTGGTTAAATTTTAATGGTGCATTGGGAGTTTCTGTAGTATTACATATTATTGTGATTTCGTACATAAATAAGAAAATATGACTGCAACTTGACAAACAAAGTTGTTGTTAGATATCTTCTTATAGAGTGGGTACATACATATCAAGTTGAATATCTGATGCTGGTAACATGTATGGGCTTTGAAGGACAGACTGCATATCTTAAGAATTGAAGTTGTCTGGATTTCTGTTTTTAATGAAGAAGTCATCTTCAATGCACCAATGATGTCATTTTCAAAAGAATTCAAAATCTGAATCACAAAACAACCATTGGACTTTGCACTTGCTAACTTGTGTATAAAATCGCTAAATGTATTGAAAACTGTAAAATGTTTTACATATTGGTCGGGGTATTATTATAATTAAGATTCAATTTCTCAGCATATTCTATTGAGCTTACTCAACATGTTTGTTTTAACTCATTCACCCCTGAAGACACATTTGAACTCTTCCAATTCAAAGGCTAGAATAGTCCATTTTAAAATTTCAGGGGTGAATGAGTTAAAGAATAAAATACCATATTTGACTCCTTAGTTTAAATAAAAATACAATTCATGCGGCTTTCTTTATGACAGTTGTACTGGTGGGAGACTCCGGAGTGGGTAAAACAAACCTGCTGTCTAGATTTACCCGGAACGAGTTCAACGCCGAGAGTAAAAGTACGATAGGAGTAGAATTCGCTACTAGGTGAGACTTGATGCTTTGTTAAAAGCCTAAAATTATTTGTTTTAGAAAAAAAGAACATCTGTTGAAATATGTTTTCCTATTTTGGTTTGGAATTTCATAACTTTATAATATTTTGGTGTATTTTTTATATATCCTATATTTTGATCGGTAATTTCACCGAGTGTTAATGTTGTATTTGAGTTTGACCTTTGGACTAATGATGAGTTTGATTTCGACAATCGTTTGTAGGAATGTGATGAGTTTGATTTTACCATTCTTTTGCAGGAATTTAACTATCAAGGGAAAGACAGTAAGGGCTCAGATCTGGGATACGGCAGGACAGGAACGTTACAGAGCCATCACCAGTGTGTAAGTATACAGAGTCAGGGCAAGCAACAGTGTGTAAGTATGCAGAATCGGGGCCAGCAATAGTGTGTTTGTAAGTGTACAGAGTCAGTCAGGGCCAGCAACAGTGGTCAAGTATACAGAGTCAGGGCCAGGAATGGTGTGTACATGTCAGTGTACAGTTTTGGGGCCCCAGTGATCAACACTGTGAAGTATACAGTACCAGGGCCATCACCAGTGTTTAAGTTTATAGTTGGTAATAGTAGCAAAGGATTTGATTTTACTGTATTCCCAGTTACCAATGCAAAGATAGCATGAATATTAAATACCGATCAAATATTGATACCATTGGTTTTTATCTCCAAGAATATATATTTCCTTTTAGAAAGCATTAGTAAACAATATACATTTATTGTATGGGTGTGAGGGAAATAGCACTTTTATTGTCCCCTGAGACATTAACCCTTTCCCGAGGTGAAGTTGATGTCAAGGGGGACAATAAAAGTGCTATTTCCCTAAATACCCATACAATAACTGTTTATTATACCAACAACAAAATTATTCCATTTCTTTTGTAACAATGTCCAATCAGAATGAACGAAGCCAAAAATTATGCAAAAAATTTGAATGCAGGTTAAATAGTTCATTCCGGATAAATAGATCTTAGTGACTATTTACCTGGTAAACAGTTTCTTGAAAGAGGTTATTTTGATTAGCATTTCTATTTTCTTCTTTTATAAAGTGTAAAAAGGAAGAAAGGTATAATAACATAGTATACACAGTAACTACATGTGAAGGGCAAAATTAACATGGCAAAATTTTGCCCAGTATTCAGTATTTGCTTTCACATTTAAAAATGGGTGCTGCAAGGGTGCCATTTAATGACATCACCTAGCTAACCACAGGCTTTAGATACTTCATTATATCACTGGATGGAAGATCCAATTATCACAAATTTTCGTCTCGTCAACAGATATTACCGTGGAGCTGTAGGGGCACTAGTGGTATATGACATCACTAAGCCGGAGACTTTTGAGAATCTCCAGAAATGGCTGGACGAGTTAAAAGAGCACGCTGACCCCTACGTCTGTATCATGATTGTCGGGAACAAAACTGACCTGAGGTCAGTCCGAGCCATCCAACAGGAGCAGGGTCGACTAAAAGCTGGTATGTAAATTAGGTCAGAGACACGTTTCTAATAAGCATGCAAAATTTAAAGGGATATATGCATGTGATGTCATATACAATGTAACGACTACCTGTTTATTTCTTGATTTGTTAGAACATGCAATTCTTTCTGAGAGAACTAATTTTGTAATAGACAACAAAAAAAAGGAATTCTACCATATTTGTAAACTTTGTAGATGACCCCAAACTGAAATATTGTAAAATAGGGGTTTAGTTTGGTATGGTTTACTGGTTTTACGTCTTCCTTTACCGACGGTGGTCTGTGTTCGGCCGACGAGAGGGGGTAAGTTCGTCTTACCAGGCCCTGTAGAGATGCAAAAAGTCCTAGGCCATTCCAGGTCATACCCCAAGTTCAGAAAGCTTCTGAGATGTGGATAGGCTAGCTATCACAGCAGCTGTGGTCTACAGATCCATGTCTACGCGTGATCCCGGTTGTCCTCTTATAAAATGTGTAAAATAGAAACTGCCGCATGTTTTAAATGTGCTGGCAGGTATTTTTTGCCAGTCACATTTTCATTGGCTTAGAGAAGGCTGCTGAGACGAGACTCGGAATGAGGCACTTTCAGATATTCAGGCTTAATATCAACAAATCCGGAGAGAACAGATGATATTAATCAATTTGTTTTGCTTGATCAAATGATAATGGGAACCTTGTTACGCAACATAATTTGTAGCAATATTTACGTTTCAAGAAACCTAATGGTACTTGTTTTATCTTGAACAGAGGAACACAAATATTCTTTTATCGAGACCTCGGCTCTGGATGCCACGAATGTTGGTGAGGCTTTCAACAACTTGTTAGTGGGTAAGTGTAAAACTCCAGTGACTTTAATTATATGATATCGATGCCCCTCTGTAAGGTGTTCTAATGTTATGACAGATAAAAATTGTTTACGTAAAACCAGGGGCCTACATGTTCAATTATGCAGAACATTTACTTTGTCCGTTTTAAATGTAACATTTTTGGTAATAAATCCAGACTGACATGCAAAAGTTTATGCGGGCCTTGCAAGGCTTTGTCAAGGCTCGTCTGAAAGCAGCATCAGATTACTAGATCCGACCTTATTTCATAAACGGACAACACTGGTCCGACCGGTTCAACCATTTTAACCACAATAAATGAAAACGACTAAGGTCCCTTAATTGATAAATGTCTGATCTGCAGTGATACTCAGGCTGTGTAAGCCAGTAGCTGACCCAGTCTACTGTTCAAAGTGTTCACTGTTGATGCCAACCTCACATGTTATATATTTTAACAGTTTGAACAGTTTTTTCAAGTACAAATTTTTGAATGCCTTCAAAAAGTTGGAACGCTCTGGATATCATTTTTCATGCCTCCATCTATGGGAAGGTGGAGTGATCTATGCTCAAGTGGGAGTCTTTAAATCCACTTCACAGAGTTGTTTCTCTTTGTTCATTTTCCCCTAAATCAAACCACAAGACTAGAGTTGTGAAGGTTTAATTATTCTTTAATGCAGCATTTATACATTATAATAAATGTATTCACCTATTTAGTATATGTATCCCGTTAAAAATGGAAGCGGTTGACTAGAAAAATTCAAAAATCCTTTTACAAATCTAGGAGAAAGCTTGGTTTACAGAAGTAGAGAAAGCTTTGATTACAAATCTATGAGAAAGCTTTGTTCATGACTATTATTTGATGCAAGATGTATATATACAGCCAGAAATAACTTTTAAAAAGTTTTCCTTTTTATAAGATTCGTTAATCATCAAAACAAAGGGAAATAAAATAGCTTGTTCACCTACTTATACAAACACACAATATTGTAAGTATTGTCTATAGTGAAGAGGCGATTGGAGAAATAAAAATATGACATTTATTCTAATCAATTTTAAAGATTTATCGATACATCAAACTTTCCGCAAAGTCCAAATTTTCCCCTAATATAATACTACTGATATATAAATTGAATATTTTAGGAGTCCAGCTTCTCCCTGTTTAGAATGATTATCTAGGTTCCACCATTATGAAAACATTGACAATTACAACTTATAAATCAGTCCCGGTGTAAAAATCAGCTAGCCTACTATTTCTTCCCTGGGGAAACTTTCAGACGGGGAAAGAAATGACTTCTACACAGGGTCATTTTAACACCTAAACATAAAAACTAAAGTGTATAAATACATGGAATTGTAAAATATCGTTCTTATTACTTTAAATCCAATGATTATAGAGTCCAACATATATTTCTTACTTTGTGTTCTGTCACTGAACAATTTAGTTTGGTCATGTGCAGTAAATACAGGATCAGAAAGATGTTCAAAGTTCAACATTCATGAGTCAAAGTCACTGTCTCAAATTTTCCTGATGATCCCGACGCAAAGTACGAAAAATAAAAGTTTGACTGTAAAAATCTGATGACAACTCGCCTCTATGTCAAAACATGTCAATGTTAACGTTGCTCCAATAAATTCTGATGTTTGGAAGAGATTTGTCGTGTTGTTCACACTGTTTTCTGGATTCTTCCTTACTCTGTATACCTTCTGCAGGGTTAGACACTAACTTGTTTTGCTTGGTAGTCCACAGGACCTTTTTGGTAGTTGAATAGATAATTTACTAGTCCTTTGTCAAATTAACTAGTCCAAGAATACTTGATAAGGAAAACTTTTGACAATTATTATGCAATATATCGTCTTTGAAGCAGTTAACTAAATTTTAAAAAGGATTATTCTTAGTTCATAATCATCTTTTTCACAAGTCCAAAGGACCAGTTAGGTTAGGTGACTCACTAGTCCTTGCTGAAATCTACTAGTCCAGGACTAGCGGACTAGTGTTAGTGTCCATCCCGGACTTCTTGGTATTCATGGTACAATCAACAAAGATATAGAAGATACATCACTTGTCTACGACATTGTGTCTCCACCCAACCCCCGTCTGCAATTTACAGTAGATTGTCCATGCTCAGTTATTTGTGACTCTAACGTCCTCTGTTTTTGTTTATAGATATTTTCAAAGTTCAAGTTGAAGATCAGAATTTGGATACAAAAACAGCTGACAACACATCACGCATCGTTCCGAATTCTTCAGAGGATCCGAATCAGTCAGAAGGTGGTATGCAGCAATGTGGCTGTTGATCTGTGTTTTTGTTATGTTTGTTTGTCTAGCTTATTTTATACTTGGTGCAAAGACTTTGAGTGACAGAGATTGAGTCTTAGAGTGAAGAGTTTTATGTGACTTGTATTGTTTGAATCTTCGATTATTAAGAATTTATGAGACAGGAAAATAGATCTTGGTACAAGTGGTAATATATAAAGAGAAAGTGACTGGAATATTCCACATTCATCTTATCATGTAATTTTGATAAATATTGTAAATTCATACTGTACCGAAAAAAATTGAATGACCTTTTTTTTTCAAAATCTTTCATTCAAGTTAATGTGAGGTATTGTCTTGCAATATACTTAAGCCAGTCCCAAAATCATGATACATGTAGCATATTCACTGCTAAAATGAATACATGATTTTTTTATTTTTGTTTATTTAATTCCTCAGAGGTTAATTCCCAAAAATTATAAGTAGATCCTTTTTATTCTAGTGGTTGATAATTCAAGAATCTGGCAAGATACAGGATACTTGCTTTTTGTTGTATATATAATATGAAACATGAATTCTGAAGAGCTTTTCTGTGGCTTTGTGAATACTTGGTCAGAAGCTGCAACTAATGACTTTGGGCATTTATGTTTGATAAATCCCGAGAACAAATTTTCCCCTGAATATTTTTTCTGGAAAAAAGTATCATTATGTATAATATCCACTGGTTCTTGTACCATGACATTTACTTGACAAAACTTGAACTTGATTTTAAGGAACCTTATTGCGAAAGTTAATGAGAAGCTTGATCGAGTCGGATCTGAGGCATGTTGATGTTTGAATGCTGTGTGTTATAAAATGTTACGTTGTTGTAAGGGAATGACTATGTGTATTTATTTATGTATATATAATATATTTGCTAGAGAGTGTTTCTGACTGTGTTTTACATTGCAGTAAAACGCTTTGACAACTCAGATTTCTCCCTGTTAGGCTATATAACTATGTTGATCTGTTTTTTGTTTTAAAGTTCTTATTAAAATCTCCATTTTAATCTCTTTAATCCCCCACTAATATGTACGAACTAGTAATCCAATTCACTTTTTTTTTCTATTTCTTCCTAGATATTATGTTTCCGTTATATTTTTGCCAATTTAAAGCAAAAAAAATCTGTAACCTTAAAAGCTTGGGCCTGTTTGTTTATGCAGAACAACCGTTATATCCGTTTCGAAATGTAACATTTTTGGGTATAAATCCTGGCAGACCTGCAAAAGTTTATGCAGGCCATGCAAGGCTTGGTCAAGGCTCCCCTGAAAGTAGCATCAAATAACTAGGTCCGACCTTATTTCATAAATGAACAACTCTGGTCCAACCCGTTCAACCTTTTGGACAGCGTTAAACGAAAACGGCCCTGAACAACCCCCTTTTTTAAGAGGAATTTGCCAATTTTGCAGAGGCACTTTAAACTTCGTTTTAGTTTTATCAACTACATTTGTTTACGAAAATATAATATTACAATATTAAGGTTGTATGCTACCTTATTATCAGCCTTGACAATTTTTGCCCTCTGGAAATTTTAAACAGTGAAAATAAATTTGGCAAATTTTAACCTGTTCCGCTGAACGAGTTATTAAGGATACAAGGGAGATTACTCTTCATAACAATTATTTTTTTCTTACAAATCTTTTAGTAGAATAATGTGTTTCTTTATCGATTAACAAGTGTTATGTTTTTTTTGCATCTGTTTTTGTTTACATTTAACATATTGTATTCATTTTGTTAGTATGTCAAGGTCACTTATTTAAGGCATTGATTTGAACATTTTAGAAAATGAGTGTGTTATAATTTAACAATGATAAACAGTAACTTGTTTGTTAATGAATATGCATGAAAATTTACATTGCCAAACATGAACAATATTTCCTTTCATTTTCTATTCCTTATCGGACTTAACGGCATTCCAAATGTCAACCATGAGTTCTTACTAAACTTATCCCATTAATTTCGTGTTTTAAGATTTTTTAAGTTCAACCCTTTCACCACTGTAGACCATAATCGACTCATCCATGTCAATGCATGGGAGAGTTTACTAAAGTTACATAGGGGTGAAGGGTTAATGTCTCTCTAATGTTGACAGCAACTGCTTTAATTTTATACAATAACCTCTTAAAGACACTGAATACTCAATCAGATAGTATGCCTGTATCAGATGCTGGAAAGCATGTAGTTCAATAGCAGGAAAATTAAAAAAATACGTATGACCATTTATTTATCAATACTGTACTTAAATAACACAAAAAAGGAAAAAAAGAAGAAGAAAAAAATGAAAAAAATGATTTCCGACAGATTTTTATCATTGAAGTAAGGAATTAATGCATTACTAAACTGACATTGGAAAATTTTTTGTTGATTTTTTAAATCATGGAAATTATGATTTATATGCACATTTTGTAGTTTTAAAAGTATTATTCCGATAAAGAAATATCAAGTTATAATTGGGGAATTTGAATGTAAAATTTATATTTAAATTCTTCAATGATAACTAGAAATTTTGTTACTTCTAGTACTAAAGTTAAAAAAAAAATGAATATGAATCTCAGCATGTAACAAATAATAAGGAAATCTGAGGAAGGCTTGGAAAATTCTTATAATGATACCGTACATGTACTTAATCTAAACTTCATGGACAAAGCATCCTCGATACTCAGGGGTTTCACTCACTATCGCTCTCTACACCCTTGGAATATGTCATAGCAAATCTGAAGGCCCAAAGATAACTGTTTGATTGTTCTCCGGGGGGGGGCGGGGGGGGGGAACCTGACCAATCACTAGGCTGATACCTGTCCTTTGAAGATTACAGAGGAGCAACGCCCGACTTCAAAGCCAGTCAATTTTTACCATTGCATGACCGCAGGATTCTTTTGATGTGGTGCACACTGAGCCTTCAATTTTGCTATGACATATTCCAGGGGTACAGACAGCGAAAGTGAGCTTGACCCCTGGAGTATCGAGGATGGGGACAAAGAAGAGTTGACACAAATTGTTTGAGACATAAACTCAACTTTAGTATCACTAGGCTGATACCTGTCCTTTGAAGATTACAGAGGAGCAACGCCCGACTTCAAAGCCAGTCAATTTTTACCATTGCATGACCGCAGGATTCTTTTGATGTGGTGCACACTGAGCCTTCAATTTTGCTATGACATATTCCAGGGGTACAGACAGCGAAAGTGAGCTTGACCCCTGGAGTATCGAGGATGGGGACAAAGAAGAGTTGACACAAATTGTTTGAGACATAAACTCAACTTTAGTACTATTTCCTCAGCCATGACACTTCTTATTTTGTTCATATTTTTAAAACTTAAATCTTCATAACACTGATACTTTAATGTGCTAAACTTTACTATCACCATTGTCATTATTTTAAAATATTTGTTCATTTACTTTTCAAAAGAAATATTCCATAGAATCCCATTGCCATGCATTTTGCAGAATTCTCAGTTGTTTGTGATGTCTACAGTGGGACAGCAATCCTAATTGTTCTTTTTGCAAATTTAAATCCGCTGAATGAGTAGTATTTTGGTAATATTTCAAAAACATAAAAATATACTACATAATGTGCTATAGTCATCCTCAAGTTATGCACGGTATTTTTGAGAATTTTTAACTGAATCGTATCTGTCTATAGATATATTTCCCCGAAGTTGTCTTGTACTTACCATTGTGTGTATCCTGGAGGCTGTTGTTCAAAGGCAGATTATCAAAACATTAATCCAGTATATTTTCGAAAATATTAAAATTCAAAACTTAAGTTACAGAAATTTCTGGCGAAAAAAACAAAAACAAATATATATATATTTTTTATTTTTTTTGAGTTTGTGATTAAGATTTGGTATTTTTAAACTTTTGTTTTGTACCTTGACCTATAGTTGTCAAGAAGATATAATATTCTGATGCAATATTGTGATAAATGAAATAAAAATACATATCTATATTCTATATGATCTCTGTTATTTACCGATTGTAAAATTGATGTGATTTATTTCTTAAAAAGGATTTTGTCAGAATTACACATTGGTAAGAAAAAAACACCTTATATTTACTATGTTACGAAAATAGAGAAATTTGGAATTCTACAATACATTGTTGAATTTGCAAGTCAATCTTGAACACACACAGGGTTTGATACTTTAACTCATTCATCCCTGAAATTTCATAATGAACTATTCCAACCTTTGAATTGGAAGAGGTCAAATGTGATTTCAGGGGTGAATATATATATTGTAGTTATATAGTAAAGTATTGCTACTATCCATTATGCAGCAACTTAAGAAAAGTCAACTTATGTTTACTAACAACAGGGGGGTGGGGACCCAACATCTCTGCAAGGAAGTCAGTTCCATAGTGGCGGTAGGGATCCTAGGGTGGATATACCCTAATCTTAACAGTGCTCATCAGGGAAAGAGCAACTACACAACTGAAATATAGTACAAAGTGTAAAACATTTGTAATTAACTCATTCACCCCCTGAAATTTCATAATGAACTATTCCAACCTTTAAATTGGAAGAGTCCAAATGTGTCTTCAGGGGTGAATGAGTTTTAAACAAGTCAATCTTGAACACAGGGATCTGGTAGATCAATTTTACTGTCATAGTTATGTACAAATATGTATCTACTACAAAGTAATTTCTGATATAAATATTTCAGGTTGTCTGGTCCCTGTGTAGTTAGACTTGTATGTGTGTTAAGGATATAAGCTATAGTACGTGATTTACACCTCCTTCCCAAAAGATTTCATCACACATATAACCTGGTAGCTAAAGGGACCAGTAAAAAAAAAAATGTTTCCCATTTTTTTGAGAGAGAAAAAATCATGAATATATGCATTCATAATACTCCAGTAATTTTCATGATCTTCGGTACACAATAAGGTTTGGAAGGAACATGACTCTGACACAGTTCTTGTCATCATCATTTCTGCATCTGGAATTCTGTTAATTTGTTTACTGTGAAATCAATAGTTTTTGTGGAGTTTTAATTTTGTTCATTTTGTGGGTACTAGATTCATCCATGAACTTATAGGTCCACAAACTGATTACAGGTTTGATATTCAGCTATTTGTAGGAATGGTGTATTTTGGGGGGAACCACAAAAATTTGACCCCACAATAATATTTGATTTCACAGTACATGTATCATTTTTAATAAATTTGAAAAGTATTAAAATATTTCCATTTAAATGTAATCATGCTTTGAAGTTGAAATCTGACATTGCTTTATTCTATCTGTAAGTTGTAATACTAATAGTTGATGCCTTTCAATTAGACCATGTCTGTATATCGACTCTCTGTAGATAATGTCTAACTGTTAAGTTGTTATAGAATGTGCCTTGATGTGATGAAGAAGTTTATATCTATAACAGTGCTATCATGAAAATCAAAGGGCTCTTCTCTCTTTACTCATAACTCCTCAACACCCCTCGAAATTTCATGACAAAATCAAAGGGTCTTTATTCAGTGCTATCATGAAAATCAAAGGGCTCTTCTCTCCTTACTCATCACTCCTCAACACCCCTGGAGATTCTGTGACAAAATCAAAGGCTCTGTATTCAGCATATTATTACTTAAAATGATACAAGTGGACTTATCAAATGTCTTTGATGAAGATGTAAGGAACACACATTCTTATTTCATGGTTTTTATTTGGAGCAAAAAATGTTTGTCTAAAATCGCGAAAATTGGAATTCCATGAAAGTCTTCGCTAAATATTTGTCCATGACTCATGTAATATGAATTCACCCAAAGTAACAGTAACATTGACAGGCTTTAACCCTTTCACCACTGTAGACCATAAAGGACTCATCTGGATCAATGCATGGTAGAGTCTACTAAAGTTACATAGGGGTGAAAGGGTTAAAGTAAGTAGTAGCTCTATTTTGATTTTTCATAGGACAGGTGCATTTCCAGCTACATGATTGGTCAGGTCTTGTTTGCCTGAAACCAATCAAATGCAGTCAAACTAGCTCATGTGACCACCTCAGTAAGGAGACCACCCATGTTGTCGGACCAATTTTAATTTTCTACAACGTAGTGATTTCTCTGTGAATAAAACCTGTATTCAGGGACCACCTGTGGTAAGAGATCGCTCTTCCCATGGGTGGTCGCCTAACTCATTCACCCCTGAAATTTCATAATGAACTATTTCAACCTATGAATTGGAAGAGTTCAAATGTGTATCCAGGGGTAAGTGAGTTAATACCAAAAGTCTCTTACTTTGTCATGACATATTCCAGGGGTGTCCAGAAGATATGTGTTTCGTGAAAGTTGGAACCGTTGGATTTGAACGATGTACGTATCCGTACCGGAGTTAGAAACACTTGTACATAAATATGTATCATACTTATACGTGTGTCCTCATCTAATCATGTAAGACAATTATCTCTTAGATTATCTACATTTCCAACACATTTAATTTTTGCAAAATTACATCATCTGTTCGTGAAGACTTAAATTTCTATGAATATTTTATGTGAAAAACATATTTCACATTTAAGTGAATTTAGGAACAATGGATGTGTGATGAGAAAACAAATGATGGGCGGAATGTAGGTAGTCTATACTACACTGTATCTGTAATGTATTTACTTGTTATCCTCGAAACATTGAGCTTTAATAAATATATATACATGTGATTTATAACTCGTATTATAGGAAATATTTTTGAAGTACTTTCTTTCTCAGTTTTATGCTTATTGATTATTTTGTTGAAACACACTTTTGCGATATGCAAGTACGACTGCCCTTAAGCAATTATAAATCACTACACTTTTGAGAGAGAGAGAAAAGAAGTAAATACACATCCATTATTTCATGTTAAAAAAGAAATTTGACAATCTGATTTTTAGATAACAGCTAATAGAAACTATATTAATCTGGTAGTTTAAACAATTAACTTATTTCATAATTGCAGTATAATTAAGTTTCATTTTCAATGAAATTATTCAAAATGCAATTACATTAAGCAATTACAAATCTAGCAAAGTTGATATCAATAAGTGTCAGGTTTATGCATTAGTAGCTTTAGATTCTTTTTATATAAAGGGTGAGTGGTGTAAAGGACCTTTGTGTAGCCTTGAAGTGTTATCAGTAGTAGATATATCCTTAACAATAAACAGAATCATGGTGTAAAGCGGAACATTTCTCATTTCAATTTTCATGCATCATATATTACAATGCCATGAAATTACAAATTTTGGTTCAACTCATTCACCCCTGAAATTTCATAATGAACTATTCCAACCTTTGAATTGGAAGAGTTCAAATGTGTCTTCAGGGGTGAATGGGTTAAGGGACTAGGTATGGTTAAGGCCTTCTTATGTTAATCACAAATCCAAATATACATCATCTTTTTAAATTTTATGAACTATAAATGATTTTAAAATCCAATAATAGATTTTTGATTTTAATAGAGTTTGGGCAAAAAAGGACTGCACCATACAGAGTCCTTTTTAAACACTTTAATAGTAACATTGGTATATTTACTCCATCAAAATGGCTCTTATATATTGTCATTTACTGTAAGGCATAGTGATATAAATATTGACTCATTCACTCCTGAAATTTCACAATGAACTATTCCAACCTTTGAATTGGAATAGTTCAAATGTGTCTTCAGGGGTGAATGGGTTAATATAATACAACTTTTTCAATAATAGGAAGTCAGTGAGCTAACGATTTAATGATCTGATACAGAACAGCATCATGCATTGATTGGTACTTTTTTCAAATATAAAATTAACATGACCACTTGCTTTATTTTTGATTTTTTTCTGTAAAGTGAGTTAAGCATTAAGCCAATGTACATACATGCACATTTTTACTTTATTTGTATCTATCCCGGCTTCATTTAAACTCTTTGGCATACATATCATATGAAGACAATTTTAAGGGATTTTTTTCTTTGAAATAACACAAAAGTATGGTTTTCAACTATTGTCATCTTATTTTGATGTGTTGATTTGAGTATTTGTGAATGTTTGTGTATTAAACTTGCTATCAATCCAGTTTATATATCATATGTATGCATACGTGTCTTTCATATCTGTGTATGTAACACACTTATTTATATCTGTGTATGTAACACACTTATTTATATCTGTGTATGTAACACACTTATTTATATCTGTGTATGTAACACACTTATTTATATCTGTGAATGTAAAACACTTATTTATATCTGTGAATGTAACACACTTATTTATATTCTGTGTATGTAACACACTTATTTATATTCTGTGTATGTAACACACTTATTTATATCTGTGTATGTAACACACTTATTTATATTCTGTGTATGTAACACACTTATTTATATCTGTGTATGTAACACACTTATTTATATCTGTGTATGTAACACACTTATTTATATTCTGTGTATGTAACACACTTATTTATATGCTGTGTTTGATGACTTCTGTCTGTTTCTATAAAAATCTTCTTTTTTTCTGTCCCAAGTTTTAACGGATTTGCTTAAATTGTCAATTTTGCGGAATCCATTTTCCGTGGATTTCATGTCTAGTGTGGATGACACATAGTGCTACATTTAGGATTGATTAAAATCTTTCTTATTTCATTTTATTTATTGGGAGCAAAATAATTCCTCTAAAATCACGAAAATTTGAATTCCCAGAAAATATCCTTTTGCTGTATACTGTCAACAGTTACATTTTTGTCATGCTTAAGATTTGTCCTTGGGTAATGCAATATGAATTCACCCAAAGTTGAACTTGAAATTGCATTAGAAATCTTGCTTAATCTTAATTAGTGTATTTTCAAATGTGTGAATTTTCTTGTTTTGGGTTTCGAAAACTTTTGTCGATAAATACATTCATGCATATTTCCATGCTAACTTGGCAAATCCGGGATAAATGAAAATTTCAGTCATGTGAAAATTACCACATTATGGCTGAATATAAAACTGTTTCCAGCGTATATCATTTCTGTATAATTTATTGAAAACTGTAAAGATCTGAGCAATAATTATTTTGTAAAAGGTTCTTATATAAATAAAGGGTTGATCCTTATTCACTGAAATAAAAGTTCTAAGAATTATAAGTTTACAATAAGCACTGTCAACATATGAAATTAAAGACATTTTTTGTACATTTGTTAGTTAAATTTGTTTTTTATCAGGTTTATTTAAACCCTTTCACCTCTAGGTAACTTTAGTGGCTCTACCAAACATTTATCGGGATGAGTCCATTCAGGTCTACAGTGGTGAAAGGGTTAAAGCTGCTCTTAAATCCATGCACGAAACGGTTTTGTTTGAATTACAGTACATGTACTTGAAAGTTAAGGTTTGTCTTGAAAATTATAGAATTATATTTTTCTCTTTGTTCGGGTAAGATGTATAGCTGCTGAATTGTAGATCTAATTTTATAAATGTCTATTGATATTATAGCAGGAAAATAATCTTATTTTCTTTGATGCAAATTAAAACGTTCCTGGTAAGTGCTTCATGTTTGATCTTTGAAAGACCATCATTTTGGAGATAATTATAAAAAGTGTTGAAAATAAATATCTGCATGAAAAGCTTCAGTAATGCATTTGCTGGACGACTTTGAAATTAACTCATTCACCCCTAAAGTTTCATAATGAACTATACCAACCTTTGAATTGGAAGAGCTCAAATGTGTCTAATGAGTTTACATTGTCATAGTAACTTATTCACTTTCCAATTCAAAGGTTAGTGTTGGTATAGTTCATTATGAAATTTCAGGGGTAAATGATCATGAATTAATAAGAAAACGTAGGATTTATCTCCCTTCCACTTCTCCGTGGCGGATTTTGACCATACAGCCAAATATGGTTTAGATGGGTTCCAGCTGGCTTGCGATGATATTTTACAATTTTCAATAATATGAAGCACTGAGTTAATTTCTTTTATCGAAGATTTTATCAACATTCTTTTCCACCAATGGAACAAAAAAATAGGTTAAGTGCCAAAAAACTGGGGAAAAACAGTTAGGCCTATGATGTGTAGCATTTAGGAATAAACATCACTTTTCAAAATAATTAAAAATTACGGTAGCATGGTGTTACATATCAGATCCTTAATGTGAATACCGACCAAGTTACATTGTACATGAGTGTATGATATTATGCATAAGAGCTTAAATTTAAACAGGAGCTAGAGATTTGTTTTTGTGAACAAAAACGTGTTTCTCCCCTTTAACTGTTCGAAAGTTACAGCCCGGACAAGATGTTCCTGAAAAAAATAGCACACATGTTACCTTTAATCTCGAGGTCAACACCACAATGACCTAGTGACAGTGTCCTGCTCATAGGCTACGGGTGATGCAGGTATACTCCAAGTTTCATCAAGATATCTGTAACGGTTTCAAAGATACATCCCGGACAAGATGTTCCTGAAAAATTAGCTCAAATTTGACCTTTGTCCTTGAGGTCAAAGCCACAATGACCTAATGACAGTGCCCTGCTCATAGGCTACGTATGTTGCAAGTATTCTGCAAGTTTCATCAAGATATCTGTAACGGTTTCAAAGATACATTCCGGACAAGATGTTCCTGAAAAAATAGCTCAAATTTGACCTTTGTCCTTGAGGTCAAAGCCACAATGACCTAATGACAGTGCCCTGCTCATAGGCTACGGATGATGCAAGTATACTGCAAGTTTCATCAAGATATCTGTATCGGTTTAAAAGTAACGGCCCGACACCATTTATTAGAAGAACCAGAACCAAAAAAAACGCACAAGAACTAAAAGAACCATTACTAATACAATATGTCTCCCTTCATTCGAAGGGGAGGCATAACTAAGAAATACTGTTTGGGGTATTCATATTATCAATTTTTACTCGTCTGTTGCTATTTCCACATCAAGTGCCTAAGATATGCCCTGGAATTTTCAGATTGCCAGCAATTATGATATCATATTTCGTGGAAACGAATAATGGACGTTAACTATAGTATTCAGTCTTATCCGCCGAAGAAAGAAAACTAAACTGGTTTATAAACAAACAGTCTTGAGATACGAGGTGTTCGTTGATATATGGAGACACTTGTGGTATTATAGAGACTCTGGTTGCAGGTGGTATCTAAACTGTTTCAGCTCACCTGTTCCAATGACAAGTGAGCTGGTTGGTTGGTGGGTTTATATTCTACACTTCACTGACGAAGTCTGTGTTCGGTCGACTTGAGGGGGTAAGTTGGTGCTTACCGGGCCCTCTGAGATTCAAAAGTCCTGCCCATCCAGGTCACGTTCTAAGGTCGGACGGCTACTTATAGATGTGGACTGCAGGCTGTCACAGCTACTGCGGTCCACGGGAACACGTCCTTTCTGTAGTCCTCACTGCCCTTCTGTGAGTGAGGCACAATGTAATTGGTTTATAGAAACGATATTTCAGCATTAAGGTAGAGAGTCCCGCCATTTTCTACTGTATACAGTTGAAAAGTTGCATGTCTGGTTAAATCAATATTTCCTCTTTATTCATACAAAGACAAATTTAGTCTTTGGCATTTTAAGGAGCCAGAACATATCGATACAATACAGAACGTTGGGGCTCGCCACCTTAAAGTTAATCATCGTTAAATTATAGTTTACCGGAGTTTAATGAAAGTAGGGTGCATGCCTGTGATATTTATTGCTAAAAAAACACAAATATAAAAGTTAAGGTTTAATTTTATAAATATTTAATGTGACATACTGTTTCTTCCGATAATCCTGTTGTGATAATATCAATTTTCACGATATAAGTTTATCAGCTATAGGACGTTAACTGGCTATAAAGGACAACATGGACATCTTTGTAAACATAAACAACAATACGTCAACACACAAGGACATCGTAAGATACAAGTATTATACAAAAAAGCATTCACGAATGCATAGGTCAATGAAGTAATTACAAGTTTGACATAGAGCAATTCTCCGTTTAAGAGGGTACTCGTAGTCCACGAATTCATATCCCCGCGAAATGGTGTTTTATCGGCAAACCACGAAATTTGAGCCCCACACAAATATCTGAATTCACAGTATCACAGAGACCGAACTCGAAATTAACCAAGGTGAGATATTACTACCGGTGAAAATCGCTCTATGTGAAATACAAACAGACAAACATTACATGCCCTGCAAGATATGTCGTAATTTGATATCAAATTATAGCTACTTCATGACTTACAAGGGAAGACAATAAACCTGGCATTTATATTTCATGTACTTTTTGTTATAAAAACAATAGCAAGAAACCAAGGCCAACATCCAATATCAATAAAGTCATAAATAGCATTGCATCAACATGCAAGGACCATATCAACCATCAAAATACAGATACTATACCACTGCGTCAACACAAGAAAATAACAATAAAAGACTAACGCTATGAGACCGATTACAAAGACATATTAATAAAGGGAGAAAAAAAATGAAAATCGGCGTTCCGAAAGTGGAACTATAACTGCACCTCAAATGGCACTGTTTAGGTGAGGGGGCTGCAGTGGCCCAGTGGTGTCCGACCGTCTATAATCACCAGCCCTCCACCACGGGGTCGATACCTACGTCGGGCAGTCGCCAGGTACTAGTCGCAGGTCGATGGTTTTTCTCTGGGTACTCCGGCTTTCCTCCACCAGCAAAACATGGCACGCCCTTAAACAACCATAGCTGTTAATAAGTCCTCTATATACTCCTTATGGCAAACATAACACAACACCTAAATAGCAAATAGCTGCTCGACCGTTAGCACGGACAGAGTCGGCATTTATTCATAAATATAATATGAATATAATAAATATTCATTTACAAAAAACTACTCTGACTTCATTTACCTAACACACAAACAATCCTCCCATATATACTCTCGCATGATTCATCGCCATACAAATGTTAAATCAAAAGCGCCACCCAACCTGAAAACCTTATTAGGCGTGACAGGAGGTGTACCAGCCCGACAATGCTTCAGTTTTTTTTACAAAATTGATGCTGGGATTTCTAACAAATGACGATGCCCACACATACATCTGTTACATAAACATAAAATTCTGCTATAATTTTATTTCAAACTGTACTGCGCCGTGCGAGGTGCGAAGCTAGAATGAGTATACACGTACCCGTAAACTACCCTTGGCATGTGCCTCAATCTGATTGGCCAAAACCTCTGTACGAGACAGGCAACTGCCCACATATACTCCGTGTATACAGGACAAATATTTCCCGCTATTCTCCGAAACGCGGAAAAAATATATTAATAGGACGAAAATACATAAACCAAACCCTTTATGGGATCTATTCCGTCTTTGCGTATTGCAGAGTTATCTTCTCTTGGGAGCAGGGATTGATTGTTACGTCACTTGTTTGTGAGAGTAACGTCATCAATTTTTGAGAAAACGACGTAATTTTCTCGCACAAATCAATGACGTAACAATCAATCCCTGTTCCCAAGAGAAGATACCTCTGCAATACGCAAAGACGGAATTGTAGATCGATGAAGTTATGCAAGGATCATAATATATTTGAAATCAACCAGTAATTATCTACTTTTCAAAATTCATCTAATTCAGGGGGTTGACTCCTTTAGTCTCAGGTTAAGACCAATTTGTATTTTTCACTTTTTGGTCTCTATCGTCACCGATAAGGCTGGACGGCTGTATGATGCAGTGTAATTCATTTTTGGGATACTTTGTCTACTACCTGCTACTAAATGTTATATGTGCAATTATTACATCAGTGTGTATGTATACGTTCATCATCCACAAGCAACTTTAAAAGAGAAATAGACAGTCAAAACATTGAACCAGCTTCCGAAATTAGAATTTGAAAAGACTGCGAATAACGGATCATTTTAAAATAAGGGCACGATCTAATAACGCCAAAACTTTATTCCGTATTTAACGGACCAAAGGGTTGATGAATTTGCCAGTGAACCTCTTCTGAGTGACAGTGATTGACAAATATATAACGACAGAAGCAGGACCAGGTTTACTCCCAATTTGGCCTTAAATGACTTTGTATGAGTAACAACGCCCATTTTCTCGTTCTGGTATAGACTAGCACTCTGAATTATTGACAGGACTTACCACCCAATACGCCTATATGTGTGTAGCAGGACTGGTTTTATCTCATTCTGGAGGAGACTTTTCCTATTTAG